TGATTCAGTTTGTCAGTGGATCAGTCAGTGTTAATAGTCAATGACGATGATGGTTCATGATGGTTTCGCTTGTCGAAGGACCGGCCACCGATGGAGATGATGCATCTCACAGCTCCGACAACGACACGGGCTTTGCATCCTTTGATGAGATGGCACAGGAGATGATTGGTTGAGAACTCTAGCCTTCCAGCCTCCAGCGATTCTAGCGCTTAAAGGCTTAAATGTTGATTTCGCCTTGACACCGTTCAGGAACAAGTCGGACAGCTTGCTTCGAAGCTGGGTCGCGATGTGCTCGCGACTCTCGTCGATGGCATGCCATCGAAAATCAGATTGGTTTCGGCGTGCACCGGGACTGGATCGTTCGAGATGGTCGCGCATGCGGCTGTGGATGCACTGCTGGTTGATTTCGGCAAACGATCCGATGTAGAAGAGTCTTTCCAGCACTTAGTACAACAACAGCCAACAGCATGTTTTCCAGCCATTGACTGCTGTGATTGTTTGCTGGTGGGGGCTGAGGTGCGGAGTGTGGCAGCGTGCGAAATCACACCGTTCAAGCAGAAGTTCCTCCAAAAGCATGTGCTGGCCTCTCGTCAGTGAATGATGATGCTATCATGCTAATGTTATTTGCGATTGCGAACTGCATATATTGCACTCTGACTGATTTGAAAGGATACCGACTGCTGCCTCTACAAGGATATCACGAAGCTCAGCGATGATGCAAGTCGGCTGTGTCTGACGCATGAGAGTAACTGCGCGACTTGGCTACCGATATTTCGCAGCCGCTCTGCACTATAACGCTGGAGCTCAACACATTCTTAGGGCATGCGCCGCGTTTTCTCAGGAGCTTCCTGCGTATGGAGATGATGACCCGGATATGCTATGCATTTTGGCCGCCGGCTTCAGCTGCAAGCGGCTTCGGATAACCTATTGAAGGGTGGCCGGTGGCATTTCACGAGACTTTTATGAACGATCAGCAAAGGTCACTGAGCCGGATGAATAATGATTATCATCAGCTGAAGCGTGCGATGGCCGATGATGTGGTCATGTACTCAGTCGTTTGTGCTTGCCATTGCCTGTTTCGTTTTACTGTAGTCTGAAAGCAATATGCGTAGTCTCTCGTTGCTTCACTCAGGATTGCTCATCTGTCGTGACATTCAAGGGTGTGTGCCATATGATACGGCGAATACAGCCGCTTTGTTTCATCCTTGAGAATGTTGATTCTCTGGAAAGCGCTGCCTCCTCCAATGATGATGACAAGGAGTTCCTTGGACTGACAGTGACTTAAGATGATTTCTTTCAACCGTTGAACATTTCAGTTGGTTGCTAAGTTGATACAGTCATATAGCCCATATTCCAGGCCAAGCAAATCGAATTTGGAGATGATCATGGCCTGGCTGAACGACCTCGGCTACAAGGTGACGGTCGAGAAGATGCGGTCCGACGACTATGGCCTGCCCCAAAGGCGCAGCAGGCTATACTTTTTCGGGCTGCGGAGCTCAGACCTGCTGGCCGAACCAGCTGAAGACAGTCTGTGCAGTGTGGGAGATCGACTTCTTCTGCTACGCAAGAAGGCCGGCGATCCAGACACTCAGCATTTATAGTTTTTGAAGCTCTGTTCAATTGGGTTCGCGGGTTCGCTATTGTGTCAGTCGTGTGACCTAATCTCAGGAGTGCTTCTTGCATCCGGAGGATGACAATATCCTTGAGGAGGAGCTTGAGCGACTACGGTCCAGGGCCAATGACAAGGCGGCTGCGTCCATCGACAAGGGCGATGGTGTGGAGCTGTCGACCAAAGGCGACAGATGGAGGGAGATCCACAGCTCGATGGCAGAGCAGAGTTGCAGCCTTAACTGTGTTTGTATTGCATTAATTGCTGCTTTATGGGGCTTGGGAGATAGATGCCATTGTTGCTGATGTGCTAAGACGGGGTGCAGTGGCCACTGGTACAGCCGCGTCAGCTGCAAGATTCGGGCTGGTTCAAGCTTCTGACGCCGCGAGAGCAGGAGGCGGGTTTACGGCTTCGTAGCATGCCGCATGTCATGATCCATGGTGTTTCTTGGTTTGACCCGTTTTCAAGGCAGCATGCTTTGTTCATCTGTGGAATCAACGTCGTCTTCGAGACGGCGAGAGCCAACTGGCATTCGTGGATTTGTCGCAGAGCTTGAGCCGCATGGTCCACTCTACCTTTGCCTCGAAGGCCACGTCATTGACTCACTGAGTTTCGTTCCACATGATTTTGAATGTTCTGAATATATGGTCTGGTGGGTCTGATTGTGTTGTTGCTATTGCTTGCCACAGGCTGTGCCCACCATCCTGCCGCAGATGCGCTTATGGAGCACAAAGCACACGAGATGGCTGCTTGGATCCTCGGACTGATTATGATTGATTGTACAATGAGCCATCACCTTCCATCATTACTTATGTCAATGTGCTTTGTCAGGCTCAGAAATGCTCGCGATGCAGGGCATCAATGTACACCAGTTCCGTGATCTTGATCTGACGCAAACACAAATGGCCAACTTTGCTGGAAATTCGTTGCTCGGTATGAGTGTGTGAGTCCAGCATAATGACATAATGACACAATGCTTTGTTTTGGGGCGTCTAGTCCTAGGGCCTAATTTGATCAATACAGGTTCTTGGAGTCGGAATCGGGTTAATTGCAAGTTGGTTCGGAGAATTGAACGAACTTAGGTTCTCGGCTCCATGCATTTCAGCGGCGTTTCTCAGCTTGATATGCTCCTTGCGCTTCAATACCGACAGCGAAGACGAGGAGCTGAATGAAATCTCTGAAAAGCGCCCTGACTACTGCAATCATATATCTGATTGTCTGACATTGTCTCGACAGCTTGAAATGCCCCACTCAGGTTCGCGATCCCTTCCGGCTCCAGGTGATCAGAGATCAGAGAGAGCATGCCCTTGAGAGAGAAAAATCGTCTCTCGAGTTCGCTGCAACTGCAGCCACCCGTGCAACTAACCCTAAACCCTAGGCCCTAAAAACCCTAAACCCTAAACGCTCTTGAGATGCGTCTTCTTCCTATGTAGCCGGCGCTCGCATGGCCACAACTTCGCTCCGTGGCCCAACTTAGGCCCTAAACCCTAAAGCCATAAAGCCCTAACGCACTAAACCCCAAACCGCCCAAACCCCTAAACCCTACCCTAGGCCCTAGGCCCTAAACCCTAAGGCCCTAAACCCTAAACCCCTGATTGAACTTGAGCTTGTCGAAGACTGTTAGTGCTAAAGCTACTGCAACTGCTAGTGCTAGTGCTACCACTACTTCTCCTACGGCTGCTCCTATTGCTCCTGCCCTGCTACTGCTTCTGCTACTGTTACTACTGTTAGTGCTAAAGCTACTGCAACTGCTAGTACTGCTGCTGCTGTTGCTGCTGCTGCTACTGCTACTCCTCCCCTTGCCACGGCTTGTCCCAGATGTCCTATACCAGGGCGTGTACTCTGTACCATGTCCCATACCCCGTATATCATGTCCCCCCACACGCTCCACATGTCACATATCATGCATCCCACATGTCCTGCCCACTACATTTTCCAGGTCCCATGCCATGCTTCCGATATGTCCCGACCGCTCGCCCCATATGTCCCGTTATACACACTATATGTTCCGCACTGGATTCCGCACCATACGTCCTACATGTCCCGCCCGCTCGCCCCATATGTCCCGTACCATGTGTCCTACATGTCCCGTCCACTCGCACCACATGTCCCGTACCATGCGTCCTACATGTCCCGCCCATTCGCCCCGTATGTCCCGTACCATGCGTCCTACATGTCCCGTCCACTCGCCCCACATGTCCCGTACCATGCGTCCTACATGTCCCGCCCGTTCGCCCCGTATGTCCCGTACCATGCGTCCTCAGCCGGGACTCACCGATAGAGCATTACTCTTGAAATTAGATAAATGCAATAGTTACTTCAATGCGATGTGGACTACGCAGGCTCTCACTAACCTCACTCAGAACAAGCCGGTGGCGTCGGAGCTCGGCTTGGCACTGGAATCGGGCTCTGCTGCCGGCTTTTGTAAGCGAGCCTGCATGGCCGTGACGTTGCCGCCCGCGCCACCACCTCCGCGACATGCCCGCTATAAAATGTGTTGCCGGTCGAGGTGATGAACAGAAAGCTCCGGAAGGGAGAGCTTGGCTTGGCCAGCCACTTGTACATCTTGCGGGCAGCGTCGAGGACCTCCGCCTCTGTGACTGGGGCTGGTTTGGGACCATCGCGCCGGGATCGTTTGGCCGCCCTGAAGCTGCCAGTATCCTTCTCGACTTGACTGCCTTTCCCCAGATTGAGGACTTTGAACATGGGCTCCAGCTCGGCGAGCTCCGTGCTGATCTTCTCGTAGTACTGGGGATTGATGAGCTGTTGCGTGTACTCCGTTTTGAAATTTGTGGCGGCAGCTTCCAAGGCCGCTGCCG